ACAGGCAAGGAAAAGCAAAACAGCTCCCACATAGCAGCCTACATAGCTACACAAGCTAAAAAAAAACAACAACAACAAACCCAAAGGCAACAAAGCAACCCAAGCTCCAGCGAAAACAGCAACAAACCCAAAGGCAATGAGCTACACAAGCTCTAAACAAAACAACAGAAAACCCAATTCACAGGAGCTACACAAGCTCAGAACAAAACAGCAACAAACCCAGCAACAAGGAGCTACACAAGCTCCAAACAAAACAGCAGCAAACCCAGTAGCAAGGAGGTACACAAGCCGGGACGAAAACAACAGCAAACCCCAGCAGCAAGGAGCTACACAAGACACGACGAAAATAGCAACAAACCCAATTCACAGGAGCTACACAATCTCAGAACAAAACAGCAACAAACCCAGTAGCAAGGATCTACACAAGCTCAGAACAAAATAGCAACAAACCCAGTAGCAAGGAGGTACACAAGCCACGACGAAAACAGTAGCAAACCCAATTCACAGGAATAACACAAGCTCAGAACAAAATAGCAACAAACCCAGTAGCAAGGAGCTACACAAGCTCAGAACAAAATAGCAGCAAACCCAGCAGCAAGGAGCTACACAATCTCCAAACAAAATAACAGCAAACCCAATTCATAGGAGCTACACCAGCTCAGAACAAAACAGCAACAAACCCCAGCAATTGGAGCTACACAAGCTCCAAATAACAGCCACAAACCCAAAGAGCAAGGAGCTACATAAGCTCAAAACAAAACAACAACAAACCCCAACAGTAAGGAGCTACACAAGCTCCAAACAAAACATCAGCAAACCCAATTCATAGGAGCTACACAAGCTCAGAACAAAACAGCAACAAACCCCAGCAATTGGAGCTACACAAGCTCCAAATAACAGCCACAAACCCAAAGAGCAAGGAGCTACACAAGCTCAAAACAAAACAGCAACAAACCCCAACAGCAAGGAGCTACACAAGCTCAGAACAAAACAGCAGCAAACCCGATTCACATGAGCTACACAAGTTTAGAACAAAACAGCAACAAACCCAAAGAACTCATTGAGCTTCAAAACCGACAGCAGTTAACCCAAGCAACAGAATGTAAAAGCCGACATCAGTAAACCCAAGCAACAAACCCATTTACCTGATATCTAAAGAAAATGCAAAATTCAAAGAACTCATTGATCATTCCACGACCATACTTACCTGCATCAAAAGTTAAAATATACTAATTCATTAATCCCACAACGACATAGATGTTCTTCATAATAAAAATATATATTGTAACATTAATAGTTTGCAATTAACACAATAATATTTATTAAAATATAATCGAAACCCAACAAACTAGCTATCCGACCAACCTTGGTCATTAACTAATTTGGTGATGTACCTCTGCTGACCTTCCTTGGTTTTTATGAAATACCTCCTAGCTTCACGTTCATTGTCATATAAATGGTCTAAAACCCTATCAAGGAACTCCTCAGAATATTCAGACCTATGTTCCTTCAACGCTGCAGCCAACTGCTCAGTCTAGTAAATAACGTGTTGATTTCTCATTGACTAAGACATTGACTCAACAAAAGCACATAGCATTTCCTCTTCACGATTAGATTTTCTGGTTTTCTTGTTAGATGATGAAGTCATGTTGTCTTAGCATTTCCTCTTCACGATTAGATTTTCTGGTTTTCTTGTTAGATGATGAAGTCATGTTGTCTTTACTCTTAGTCTTATATCTAGTGGGTTATGGTTGGTTAACAGCATCAGAATGTGGTTGGTTACAAGCATCAGATTGTGGTTCAGTTTCACTCTCCTCTAGAATCTCGCAATCATCATCGGGAATATGTATGGACCTACTAGACCCAATGTTAGCGTACACGGGCCTAACAAATTCACCCTTGGCTTGATCATCACCCATGATAACTTGTAAATTTTTGAAGTGAGGAAGGGGTTTGTTTATGTATGCTTTATACTTAGAATTGGATTTGTCCTGTAATAACAAATACTCATAAGTAGTGAATCAAATGTATTAAATTTTGGTGATAATATAGATGCTGAATTTGTTATACCTGAGCCCAAGATTTCAAGGTTTCATCATCCAATGTAATTATTTTACTTGTTTCATCCCACCCAGCACCACTTATATCAAGGCAAGCCTTCATGTCGTTGAATTTGTTCCTCAAACATTTCAAGTGGTTAATGACATGTAGGTGAGTGAAATCAGTCCTGAATTGCATGTTGATTTTCATGGTAGCCATTTTATAAGCTTCAGCATTGAAGTTCTTGTCTGGTTTTAGGCCATCCAATGCTAAATCTGCAAGATAAGGAATAAGCACATCATCGTGCTCCGGAAGCCAAAACTTATTAGCCACGCCTCTTGAGTTCAACCTGGCACCCGGAACTTTTTTCTTATGAGCTAATTTTTCCCTCTTTTCAATGGCGAAGTGTGCTCCGCACCATCAACGTCATGAATATCTTTTCCACCTGAATCACCAGTGTTTGGTGAAAATTGATTAGGTCCACTACTTTGAGAACTAGCTGTGGGAAATAGCAAACCTTGTGGACTGCTTAACAAGCTCATGTAGGATATTGGCGGCTATGTCATCCCACCATAATTACCATCGTATGGTGGGAATGGTGAGAATGTATGAGGAGGTGAAGTGAATGGTTGTGGTCGAACAGGCATGAAGTTCATGTTAATCCCTGATGTAGGATTTGGCATTGCATTCGAATGAGAAGGCACGCTTTGCTTATCTGCCGGATTGTTAGCCATACCTAATATATATTGTAAGCATAGCCATATTAACAATAAAGAAATATAAAACAATATGGGATATGCATGCATTTATCAAGGAATATATGAAACGACGATATTTCTCAAACAACATAATAAAAGAGCAACCGATAAAAGTAGTAATGTTTTGGTACAAGCAAAGAAACATTAAACAAAATCGATGCGAATAGTATTTTAAAATTTACCAAGTTATTACATAGCTATAGAACAAATAACACACTAAGTTAAACCGCTCTCCATTGTGTTACCACCATTATACTTTGCACAATAATCCACTCACATCGCCCAAGCAATTTGATCTTGCATCTCCTTCCATTCATTTCTTACATCTCGATCCTCTCTTTATGTCCTACTTTGAGTATAATCCACCACATTTGAATCGTCTTCATTTGTCTCTTCCTAGTATCTTCATCAATTTTAACATTTTCATTTAAAATATCATCATCCGGATCCTCCAAGGCAATAAAGTTGTGCAACACAGTACACGCTAGTACAATGTCCACTTGAGTGGGAAATGGATAATTCGGCTTCGCCGTTAGAATTTTAAACCGATTCTTCAGTATCCTAAATGTGCATTCAATTTTTGATCTTAAAGATGAATGCCTTAAATTGAACAACTCTTTCTTATTCTTTGGTGTCTTGTATCTTTTAATAAACCGTTTGCTTTCATTACTTCAACAAGTTTAAAAAAGGCCCTCGGTCTCATTCTAATATAAGATCGGCAACTATCTTGATAGCCCTCCAATACACGTCTGAAGTGAGCCTCTCTACAATATTTTTTTCTGATATTTTCTTGCTTCATACAAGTTGATATTCTCTTGCGCTTAGCACGTATTCTTAAAATACATGTTACCAAAGTGACCACGGCGCAGACAGCTGTATTAGCACACATCCTCTTCAATTCTTCTTCATTTTCCATATCCATCTACATCCGTTTTAAAATTAGCATACATTTACAACTTATCTTGTCTACTTATTTCAGTTAAAATTAATTAGATAACTGATACAAATATTTATTCGCAAGAAATCTAATTATACTAAATTTTATTTTAACTAGTGTTGCATTCGATTTCACACAATTATCAATAACAACACATTCTACTACCCGGTTCCTTTCATGTAATGAATTTAACCCCATTCTTTGGTAAACATAACCCTATTATTTTTCATGCATTCACATTCTTTTGTAATAAACACAATTATCAAGAACAACACATTCACACAAATATCATGCGTTCTATTTCACACAACTAACTGAATTTTAGTAAACATAACCCTATACTTTGTTAAAAGTCCTAAATAATGAATTATCACACAACTAACTAAAAATTGGTAAACATAACTGAAATTTCCACACAACTAACTAAAATTTAGTAATCATAACTGACATTTATCACACAACTAACTAAATAGAACAATATTGATGCGAACAATTGCATTATATTTCACACAACTAACTGAAATTTAGTAAACATAATCCTATTCTTTGTTAAAATTCCCAAATAATGAATTATCACGAACAAAAAAGAGGAGGAAAATCGTATACCTTAAGCTGCAGAGGGGAAAAAATGTCGAGGTCCAAGCAACAAACCCAACAAACCCACCAAAGCCGGGATCAACACCGTAGCCAACAAACACATCCGAACCAACACCAGTTCGAGAAGGGATCACCAACAACCAAAGCCAAGGAACCCACCAACAAGAAGTTGGAAAACAAATCAAAGAAATCACGGCTCAACAAGAGGTGGGATCAGATTAGAGGGAGAAGCCGATTCGACATATAAATCTGCAAAAAACCATGGCTCAACCAGAGCTAGGGTTTCGAGTTCCAGACACGACCACGCACAAGCCACGACAAGCGGCGGGAGAAGAGGTGCGAAGAAGAGAGCGTTGTGGCGGGAGAAGAACAACGGGGAAACCACGGATCAACAGATCTAGGGTTTCGTAGATTAGGAATCAGAATAAGAAAGAGGAGAGGTGTCAGAAATATCGCTCAATTCCTCTCAAATGGAATGGATTTGGGTTTCCTGAAATATCAACTGTTTGAGCCACTTTCTAGATTAGCAATTCTATAATTTTTTTTTGAACCAAACTCAGGATTAGGATTCATTTAGAATCCATTAATTAGGAAAACACTAGTGTCAGGTGCAAATATCATTCCTATTCCATAAAATTGGTGAAACAAACAGACGCTAAGCATCAGTCACCAACCGAAGTCCTCGCCAAATCCAGTGGTGACACATCGAAAGTCCAAGGCAGAAGAGGAGAGGATAGAGATTGAAAGAAAGAGAAATGGTTGCCCTTTCTCTTCTCAGCACGACCCCTGTTGCTCTATCTCAGACCTCATATCGCCAACGAAACCTTACTCTCACCCCCCGGTCAAATTACCGCCATCTCTCCTCTCTCCATCCATCTCCATTTCTTTCTCTCTCTGCAAACCTCGCCCATGCCAGAGCTCGGCCGCAGAGCACCAGAACCGGCATCTTTCTTCCTCACCTCGTGGCCTCAATGGTAAAGATGAGATTTTGGAGAAGACCCATTTGAGAAAATAGCTCGGTGCTGGTTTTTGTTGATTTGGGTGGTGATTTTATTGTAGTGAAAAATCGTAGCTTTCGATGTCAAGATGAGATTTTGAACAAGACCCATTTGAGAAAACAGTCCAAGTTCGGTTTTTTTGATGATTTGGGTGGTGGCTCTATTGTAGTAATAATCGTAGCTTTTATGTCAATATGAGATTTTGAAGAAGACCCCGTTCAGAAAATGGCCAATTTTGGTTTACTATTGATTTGAGTGGTGATTTTGTTGCAGGAGGACGTCGAGGTGTCTTATATTATGATTAAACCTGATGGTGTTCAACGTGGACTGGTAATAAGAATTTGAAAGACAAAAATTTAAGGCTTTTTTAGCTCGTGTTTGTTGAATTTATTGGAGTTCTTGTTTGTTGATAGGTTGGAGAGATTATTTCTCGATTTGAGAAGAAGGGGTTTTTGCTCAAGGGATTGAAGCTTTTTCAATGCCCTAAGGACTTGGCTGAGGTTTGCATTTGGCTTAATTAGATTTGTTAACATTTCTTCATGATCATACATTTGGTTATGTCATTTCTTAAATTTAATTAGTTAATATAAAGTTGATATTGTAATATATCCTCCAACGAGTCTATGATATTATACCTCTTTGTTCCCATTGTTGAAATTGGTGGTCGTTTCAAGTTTGTCATTTTTAATTCTTGATGTAAGTTTAAGTTGCGAAGTGTGTTCAATCCTGTGATAACCTAATGGGTGTGCCGTTTCAGTTCTGATCTTTTATCTGATTGTGTGAAAGAAGCCGTCTCTAATTCCCCAGTAAAAAAAAGATTCATGACAGTGGACCAATGTATTCTTTTACTGGAAAATTTAAGACCTTCCTGCTCAACACAAGCATAGTACTTCACTCACAAACTGGGCTCCTGAAGCCCACAAAGTTTGCGAAGGGAGTTCATAATTTCCATAGTCGCATCCAACAACATCCATGTTAATGTTGAATTGACAATGTACCCTCTTAAATTTAGTCACTCTAACCATTACACCAAAACTCCGAAGCTATGATGTGGATTGAGGATTATAGTTTTATATTAATTCTAACATGTCTCGTAGGTTGAATGCCCTTTTTTATGAGCTGAAACCTGGACTCACGCAGCGGCTTGAATTTTATAGAAAATCTACTTTAAATTCATGGCCGATGGGATTTGAACCTGAGTTGCTCTAATACCATCTTAAATTGAATCTCTCTAAGTAGCTAGCCGTGGAGGGAGGCCTCTGTGTAGCTAGGTAGCAGGCTGAAATTTTGAATATAAAGATGGTATTAGAGCAACCTAGATTCAAATCCACCGGTCAAGAATTTAAAGTGGATTTTCTAAAAAAATTCACACTGTTGCGGGAGTCCAGGTTTCAGCCCATTAAAAGGACGCTCAACCTGCAGGGGCATGTTAATTATAAAAATATGATCCTCAACCTTCACAATAACTTCAGAGTTTTGGTGTAATGGTTAGAGAGACTAATTTAAGATACCCAAAACAAATACAATAAAATAACAAAACAAGTTCACCACGGAAGCCCAGGTGCTGAACTCGCATAATTGAGGCTATTTCTAATGAAAATAAAGCTACAGTTCTGCTCAAAGGTCCTTAATGCACATTGAAACTTCTCCATACCGTGGTAAAATGAGTTGTATGAACTCAGACAAGTGACCACATCATATTGGACTAGACAGTTTCCTAAATTAAGAACTACATCACTAGTTGCAGGACATGAAAGTATCAAGTGACTAGTTGGGAATTTATTCTGGTAGCAATATTCTTCATCTATTTCTAGACAATCCATTCCATTGAGAACACGCATCACGAAGTGGTCTGCGAATTTTGTAGCTAGTCTTGAATTGCATCAATATGGAAATTTTGTTCAAAACATATAGTTTGTTACAGTTTGGCTTCAAACTGGAATAAATGACCTGATCCATGTTCTTGCATCTATATATAGTGCAGGTTTTCAGATCTATATTCTATATTAGCAAGCATCAACTATCAAGCATGGTTGATCGTGTATTATCTTCACGATGTTGATCGCATGACTTTTTCGTTATGTTTAGAGAAGGCAGAAGCTAATCTTTAGAGTACAAAACGCTTTCACCATTTAGTATTTCCTTTTGACTGAAAAGAATATATCAACTGTTATGTTTAGAGAAGGCAGGAGCTAATCTTTAGAGTACAAAACGCTTTCACCATTTCGTATTTCCTTTTGACTGAAAAGAATATATCAACGGTGATCTGTCTTCTTTATTATAGCTTACACTTAGTTCTTGCTAATAAAAGGCATACATGTAAGATAAGATAAGCCTTTTACTTCAGATGACAGATTTGTGAAGTTTCTATTGACAGGAGCATTACAAGGATCTGAAGGACAAATCTTTCTTTCCTAAATTAATAGACTACATTACATCAGGTCCAGTTGTCTGTATGGTATACTTCTAGATATCACCTACTAATATAATTTTTAGCTGAATGAATTAAAAAGCTTTTCATGCTGAATAATTTTCTTATTACTTCTGTACTTGAAAGGCATGGGAAGGTGTCGGTGTTGTTGCATCGGCCCGTAAGCTAATAGGAGCAACTAATCCTCTTCAAGCTGAACCCGGCACTATACGAGGAGATTTAGCAGTTCAAACAGGAAGGTCTGAACTCTTGAACTTTTATATGTCACAAGATTATTTCCCGTGATATTTGTCTCGCTTCAGCATGAAAGAGAGGGTCTGATGTTGGAATTCTTGTGCAGAAATGTTGTTCATGGAAGTGACAGCCCTGATAACGGACAGCGAGAAATTGGTGAGGCATTTGCCAGTTAATAGCCATACAAATTTTAACTCTGTCTAGGAGAATTCTTACTGTTTTATCTCTTAGACCATTAAGTTTTTCTTATTCGTTTCTACCATTAGAATTATAGTTAGTTGAGCTTTTAGGAGTACTTATATTTCATGTGAATTTGTTTGGTTGGTTTTAATTATTCACTGGTTGTAATCTTTCTAACAACAACAAAGTCTTTCATTCCAGTAATATGGGATGGTTATATGAAACCATTTTCGTCATTTAACTCCATCATGGGATGTTCCTCAATCCTCATTATGTTAGAACCACCCCGCTCTCTACTGTACCATGCATTTTCTTGGACACTTCAATATAACTATTTAGACTGTGATTTCTCTGGGTATGTAATTTAGTGACTGTTTTTTAGTTGATAAATGGATTTTGTTCCTTGAATCGTTGAATTACTGGAGGAAGAGTGATCTCAATATAAATGCTCTACGAAGAGATAAGAGTAGGTGTGTGAATCTAACAACCCTTTACCTTTTGGTATCCCATTTAACAAAATGAGCAGCCGATTCATAAAACACCAATAACCCATATACAATATATGGATGTTCATCTCGTATATAGAACGCAACTGGAGATACCTTTCGGAAGTGATTTTAGTAGGATCTGCTGGTTTAGAGACTTCCTAACAACTTAAACCAGTAGTTTGTTTTGCCTCCACAAAATGAGACCTTGGCGATATGTAATTCATCTGGTGAAGATGATGGCTAAAATAGATGCAGTTAGGTGATTGGAGCAAGATAACCTAATTTGAATAGGCCCTTTACACAAGGAGCTATACTGAACGGGATGAAGGATTTAACAATAAAAGCATCATGTAAATTTGTAAGTGCAACGCTCAGTTTAGACAATGCACATTATAATTGATAAATACGCATAACGAGCATCAGCCATCTGATGGTTGATATTCGATATAAGATATTACATGCACAAAATGCTTGATCTGATAAGAGATCAAATGTCCCAGTTGCTTACTGCATGTTTGGGTCAGTGATTAGGCGTGCAAAATTGCACATAGCCTGTTTGCGTCTGTGACTAGGCGTGTAAAACTGCACATAGCCTGTTATAGATAAATAGCGGTTATAGATAAGTAATGCTGTAATGCTTACGAACAATACCATGTATGCACAAGTTAACTGTTTTCTTGTCAAACTTGATCTCGCCTTTTCATATTAGATGTATATTATATCATCACGCAACATTTAATTAGAATATGCATGTGATGTGTATTGATGAAAATTTTAAATACAAATTTGCCTCGCACGTTTCTAACCCCGTCAGTGTTTTTCCCCCTTCTATTTACACAGCTCTATGGTTCAAAGAAGGTGAATTGTGTCAATGGGTATCAGCTCAAGCATCTTGGCTCAGAGAATAAAACAAGGCACACAAGTTCCCATGTCCTATTCTTCAAAATTTCCAGTATTTTTTTTGACTTCGGCCTCGTGTATTAGCTCTGCAGTTGGGGTTAAAAGATAAAACATGTTTTTTTTTTTGCCCTCTCGGAGAGTTGAACCGTGATTTTCCAATAAAGGAATTTGCTACTGTCTTCTGTTGATATAGCACATCTATGTGCTTTAATAATTCCGTGAACTTGCAATTTTTATTTATTTTTTTGGCTTAACTAGCTACCTTCTGTTGATATAGCACATCTATGTGTTCTAATAATACCGTGGACTTTGCAAGGTTCTTAGCTTAAATAATCATTTTTCCCCTACAGTTGACTTTTTTATTTTTAGATATTCTGTGAAGAGATGAGTGGCACTGAGCTAATCTGTAAAGGTCTTTTCTTCAGTTTTTTTTAAATATTTTTTATTGTTTATTTTTATTTATTTATTTATTTATTTTTGGGTTGTATGTTGGTAGTCATGCAATTTAATTAATAAAACAGACATAACTTTGCATAAATTCGTTGACCCGTTACCTCTTAAGAGGTTGATTAGTGAATGGAAGGGGAGTTATAAATAAAGAAAGTTAAAAGTGTCTTCTTTCTGCAATAAAATTACTAAACCAATAATAAAAATTAAAAACATTTCACACGCAAACTCAAACTTAATTTCTTTCCTCGTCGCTGATGGGTCATGAATATGATGAAATAGCAACTATAATGTTCATGAATATGGTTCCAAAGAATGGTTCACCAGTATTGTATTGTGTGAATTGTTTAGAGTCCGAAACTGTATTGGTTATGAATTGTGTGTTTAATATTTTAGAAATGCTTGTTTCTTGAAAATGAAATATCTGCACTGTGTGAAGAGAATCAAAATCATTACAAGAAGTATCAAAGAAAATAGGGCTAATTGTGGATAAATCACCTATAATTCTATTGTCACATATAGATTATATGAGTGAATTTTTTTTTTACTCTTTTACCCTGAGCCAGAGAGAGAATTGTCGCATAGTAATATTTCTATGACAAAATTTATTACCATGTAAGTAAATTAATGGCATATTTTTTCTTTCTTTGTACTCCATATTTTTATAGTAAAGATACTGGATGAGCAATCAAAACCTCGTCCGCGTCCACATAAACTGAGACGCTACTGGGTTCTTATCATTTTCTATTTGTAGATCTTCTGGTGACAAATGAAAAAAAAAACAATTGAGGCAACAATGTGACATATATTTTCTTTATATCTATTTGATTCCCATGGAACGTAAAAAAAAGAAAAAGAAAAAAAAGAATAGTTAAAAGTTAAATTGTAAAAAATGGATTTTTTTGATATTTTTAGAAATTTAAAAGGGTTTAACTACATATAGGACGAGCTCCACTTTATACTTACTTTCAAGTCATTTTCCAATCGGTCATGAAAAAAAGAAAATGTTTTTTTTTAGTATTGGATCCAATTTTTATACTTCTCAATTAGCAAACATCTAGAACAAAATAAAAAGTAAAAAAAGAAGATTAAAAATAAAAAAGGGGATTTGGCCAAGAAGGAAAAGAAAAAATAAAAAAAGAAAAAGAAAAGAGAGTGATCCCGACAAATTGCCCTGCTTTGTCTCTTTCATTAACATGTTTTTATCGATCCCAATCCGAGGAACCATCTATACAAATCTCAACCACAACATTCTCTCTCTTACGTAAAAGTAAAAAAAAAAAAAGGAAAAAAGGGGGAAAAACAAATAAAATCCTCATCCTTCTCTCTTCCCTCCCAAAATAATGGCCTCTCCTCTTTCTTCAAAACTCGAGGATCTAAAGGAGAAGCTCTCCTTCCATCTACAGCCAGTGCATCGATCCATTCAGTTCTGGGTTAGGGCTGCGGACATCTACACTAGCTACAAGGTCACACTTTCTGACTTCTGATGATGTGCTCTTTAATGGGTTTCTGAAATATTTTGATTTTAGGGTTTTATTATAATAATTATTGTCATTACTATTTTTGGTTAGGTTTGTCAAATTCGAGCGGGATTAGTGAAGGATGCGGAGAAGCAGGACGCAATGTGGGAGAAGCAGCATGAACTTGGAGCGGACAAGATGTATTCTCTCTGCTCTGATCTTGGTGGGCTTTTTCTGAAGGTAAATGTTGATTTTTTTTTTTGAAAAGTCTTTTATGATGTGTTTGTTCCTTGTTTTATTATAGGTAATTGATTAAGTATCCTCTTTTATTTTTATTTTTATTTTCTTTTTTGCTTGCCTATTTGTTGAGGGTTTGGATGCAAGAACAGCTGTGGATTCAGGACTGTGCTTTTTCAAGTTATGTTGCATGTTGAATTTGAAGCTAATACCCATATCAAAATAAGAAAAAATTTATGAAGGGTTAAGATCATTGCATGTAATGGCCATGGAATTAAGTTTCTTGTTTGATTCTTTTTTCTTTTCAGAGAAAAAGAGTCACGTTTTGTATGGTAGGAAAACTTCTTTAGGACGATGTTCTCTTTCCTTTTCTTTTCCCTGTGTACAGTTTGATGTCAACCATTTAATAGCAAAGGGCTTGAATTATGTTTTTCATTTTGTTATATATAATTTGATGATAATATAGAGAAGTTTCAAATCCTAACACATATGTTTTTTATCCCAATGAAATAAGAGCATTTTATTCAATTTTTAATTCTAAAATTTTTGGACAGGCTGCTCAAATTCTCGGTAAACCTGATTTGGCTCCAGCAGCTTGGGTGAAAAAATTAGTTACATTATGTGATCAGGCTCCTGCAACACCATTTCCAGTGGTCCAGAAAGTTCTGGAGGAAGAATTAGGCAAGAAATTTGGTGACGTTTTTGATCGATTTGATGCCAATCCTGTGGGCTCTGCTTCAATAGCACAGGTTTTTTGTTTATATTTACAAATTTCATAAAAGTATCAAGGACTATAAAGAAATAACTTTTAAGCACTGCTCCTCATTATTGGTCCCCTCTTTTCCAGATATATACTTTTGAAATTCTAGCTGCACAGATTTAACCTGTTGTGGAGTTTGACATATGTCCTGTTACTTCAGTTATGATATACAAGACGAGAGTGAGAAATATCTGGATATAACAGTAACAGAGCTGGTATTCTTATCAATGTGATATTTCATAAATAAAAGAAGAAGAAACTTTGAAGGAAAATTATGCGCTAGCCACAAACATTATGTTTTTCTATCTTGCCACTGGTCTAACAGTCCTCTAAGTGTGCTTTTAATGTTTTTTGAGAATATCCTTTCTCCATCTCTTATTCAAGGTACCGTACCATGTTGTATGCAGCACATTATCATACTTAATTGGTCCTTGTCTCATATTTATGTTCCAAGCTTTCAACCATGGCTGCGTATTTGGTTAGAGCCTGATTGATTATGTGTTTAATTTACATCAATTCCTTTGCAAAGATTAGGGCATGCTAAGCATATCTTTTATTTTGCATGAGCATAGTAATTTTAAACTTACATATGTGGGTATTAATCTGTTACAGATATTTTGTAGTGATTATTAGATTTCATAATTTGTTACAGATATTTTGTAGTGATTCTTAGATTTCATACGTGAATTTATATTTTTTTAATATTTCTGTCGCTTTTTAACAAATGTAATGTGAGCTAACTAATCGATGATCAAATACGGACAACAATTCTAAAATTGATGAAAATCAGTAACTTTGAAATGGTTAAATTTGGTTGAGTAAAGAACTTAAAAAGCTCTGTTCCGAAGCATCATATCATGGTAGAGTACAAACTGATAACCCTTTGGGAAGGTCAGGACCTGTACTAAATTCTTTCGTGACATAATTTGTATTTTTCTCGAAGTTTTCTCTGTAGAAGTCACAGAGATGACAAATAAAATCCTGCCATCGGATTAAATAGGATCTTTCTTAAGCAAAAATATTGATAAAAGTGTCAAATAATGTCTTTTTATATATTGTCGTGTCAAGTGAATACATGGATACCTTCTTAGTAATTGTATTTTGTGAGGTAACGATGGCCATATGTTAAACACATTTTTATGTTTCCTATGCTTTATTCTAGGTTCACCGGGCAAGATTGAGATCTGAAAACACTGATGTTGCTGTCAAGGCAAGGGATATTCTGAATTTTACTGTCGTAAATTAAATTTACAATATTTTATCAAGTTCTGCATGTGTTTAGGTGCAACATCCTGGCGTGGAACACCTCATGATGGTTGACATCCATAATCTGCAAACGTTTGTATTGTTTTTGCAAAAGACGGACATCAAATTTGATCTATTTTCTCTCACAAAAGAAGTTGAGAAGCAGGTATGCTTGTTTGGCTGTAAGTGGATTATTGCATCTAGAAGGCATTTGTGTGTTTATGCAATTTTCGATGTTAATGAGCTTTATCTTTATATCTGTAGTTGGTGGTCAGCAGCCTTGTAAATTAATTAATCATTTTATTATCTATGAACCAATGTAAAGATCATTAATACATTAAGATAATATCAAATAGTTCTTGTGGAAAAGTATTAAAAAATTGTGTGAGTATGACTGCACTGAACATCTTGCATTTGACATTAGAAATTGTATGTTGCTTATTTGGAATTAGTTCTTTCTTCATGTGATTTTGCCAATTACATTATCGTCAGAAAATTATGGCAGATGAGCATAGTAGTAGATAGTGAGGCAACCTATAGAGAAAAAACTAACAATCTACATGGAAAATATGGTTGAAGTGGAATAAGGTTCACGAGCTACACAATATGGATGGAGCTCTTAAACACAAATTCATATGACCCCCCCCCCCCCCCCCGCGGGGGGGGGGGGGG